GGGCTCTCCAGGACCAGGCATTTCTTGCAAGAAGCTCCTGACCCTCGTGGTGTAGTCGAGCCCTGAGAGGCTGGAGACCTCGCAAGACCACCCTAGCCTAATCAGGGGCTTGTTTGGCTGCTAGGAGAGGACCCGGTAAGGTCTCTTGTGTGCGTGGCTCCTGCTGGGCCACAGACAGGACTCTGGCAGGCTCAGGAGCAAACTTTAGTGGCCGGTTTGTCTCTGCATAGCCTGCCTGTGACGGATTTACGCGGGCATTTCTCCTGCTCTGCTGCTTCAGCAGGCATCACTGCCCTTTTCTGCTGGTCTGATGGCTGGTGCTGGGTGAGGGGTGCCAGACAGACAGGCTGAAGGGTGGATGCCTTCAAGTCCACTTTGGTGAGAGGCTGAGTTCTGCCCTCGGCTCAGCGTTTTGGCTCTGCTGTGCCCCTCCTTCCCCCCGCTGGCTCCAGCACCCCCTGGCTCTCACCGAGTCCCCCCGGGAGCGAGCAGCTCACGGCAGCCTCGTGATCGTCTCTCCGAGGGAAGGCTTCAAAGGCAGGGGCAGCAGCGCTGCACTGGGAGAGGAAGGGCTGTAATTAGAGCTGCAATCAAGGTGCAATCAAGGGCTTGCTCATCCTGCCCCTGCTCGTACACAGCCCTGTTTCCTCCTGCTGCCCAGCACGAGTCCGGTGCTCACGGCCTGCTACCGCCTGGCAGATGGATGGCAGCAGGACGGGTCCCCATGGCTGGGGTGCTTACTGGGCTCCTGCCTCTGTGCTAGAGCATCCTAGAGGTGTCTGACCATGCTCTGGGCTCTGGAGAGCAGATGGGGACAGGGGCTGCCCTCGGTGTGTCGGGTGGCCTAGCCGAGGAAGCCGCCCGAGTCGGGTGGCAAATGCCCTGGGTCGGGCCGTGTCCAAACAGCTCCAAGCGTAGCGGGGCCTCTGTGTGGCGGCCGGCGTCTCTGGGTAGCAGCAACGCACCGGAGGAATCGGCCCTGAGAAAGTCTGGAAAAACAATAGCAATTGTTCTCTGTCTTTGTTCCCTTCCCTCCCCGGATGTTGCGGCAGAAGGAGCCGCGCTCGGCGCCTTGCGGGTGGGCAGAGTGAGCGCAGCTGCTGCTGCCCCTGCCCCAGCGGCACGCTGACCCTGCAAGCTGGAGCCCACAGGCGTCCTCGTAACGAGCAGCCTTTTTCCAAGAAACGGGCTTGTTAAAATGTGCAGGGCCTCGGCACCAGACGGTAAACATGGCACCGCTCTTTCCAAAGCCTGAATCATCGCAGTTAGAATAATGAGAGCTGTACACGGGCGAGCGATGGCATCGGGCCACGATTCTGTTTGTCACAGGGCGAGACGTTTCCTTGCAGCTACGGAGCCAAGCGGTGCGGAGCAGTGGTGCAGGCAGCGTGGTCCCAGCCCCACGCCCAGGATCTGGTGCCTGGGCTGGGAAGGCTCCAGCGGTGCTGGGGCTGGTGGCACCTCCGCCTTTTCCTCCCAAGGTGGGCTTCAGGGGACACAGAGATGCTGTGCCCAGCACTTGCTGCACTGCACTGAGCTCTGAGCAGAGCCGCACGTCCCCTGTCCCTGCAGGTCCTCGGTGATCCCAGGCACCTGGGGACAGGTCCTGGGGCTTCCTTGGCTTGGCTTCTGCTGTCAGCCGCCGTCTGCATGCTGCAGGCTGAAGCGTGTGGTCAGCTGCTTGCTGCCCGCATCAAAGGGTCCAGTGCCCCCGCGGGGTGGCTGTGGGGATCCCTCTGTGCGTGGGGAGCAGCCCCGGGGCGCAGGCGTTACCCCAGGCAGCCCGTGGGGAGGTGCAGCTCATGGGTTGCTCAGCCAACCCCTCCTGCTCGCAATTCCCCACACAGAGCATTTAGGTGAGCTGCTGCTCCCGGCGGAGGAAGGCTGGCAGGTTTGTAAAACCCTTCCCTGTCTCGCCTCGCAGCTTGCAGGTGTGCGCTCCGCAAACCCCAGGGGTCTCAGGGCCGGTGGCACTGCCGAAGAGGTGCAGAGCTGGGAGCAGGGAGCAGCGAATGTGTGATGGGAAAGCTTCGCCTCCTTCACGGCCTCTGGTTATTCCCTTCTCAGAGAGACCCTCGCCAAGGTCAGAGGCCAGGCAGGCTGTCGTGTTGCAGGCAGAACTGCTCTGTCCCCATCACACCCCATCATCGCCTGTCGGTCCCCCTCAGTTATTCTGCCTCCACGTGGAGCCAAGACCTACAGAAAACACACGGAGAACCGTTTCCATAATTTAAATGCTCTTAGGCACTCATCTGTGGTGACCTCCGTTCAAGTAGCAGTGATCGGCCAGAAATGTTTGTGGTCCTGGAGGTGGCTCAGCCCCTGGCAACGGGCCTGGGTCTGCTGGAGAGAGCAAAAAGGGGCAGAAAAAGGGAAAAGCCATGATCAGTGAAGGGCAAACAAGGGATCAGGCTGTTTGTCCAGTGTAGAGGAGAAGCAAGGGACGAGTGCTCTGTGCTGGGAAACTGCCAGCGAGACGTACAGCGCTGGAGCTGCTGTGGGCTTTTTTGATGCTGTTCCTAAAAGCGGTGCCTTTCACAATCCGCCTGGTCCTTTGCCCAAACTTTCCTGGGAAAACCTCTCCAAAATTTCTGGGAACTGGGTTTTTCACAAAGGGGTCAGGTTAACGGCAGTTACGGGTGCTGCACAATGCTGACAGCTTTACTGGTGCGGGGATTTCTTGTGGGAACTCGGTTCAGAAGGAGAGGAGCTCATGAAGGAGGACGCCTGCCAGGGCTTTCCTCCCCTCTCTGCTTGCTCCTGTTTGCTGCTGCTTCTCCCCCATTTGCATGGTGTCCCCCCCAGTTTGTGTGAGGACGTAAATGGGAGTTGCCAAAGCAGCATGAGAGGTCTCCACGTGTCCTGCAGCAGGGCTTTGCATCCCATGGCATGGCCGAGGAGTGGGACCCTGTCCCTTTATTCAGCACCACCACCACGAGCTCTGGCAGTGCTGCTGGATTTGGCCGTGCCCCTGAGGCGTGGTGCTCAGGGGTCCCTCTGGGTTCTGCCATGGCAGTGCCCCTACATGTGCTGCATTTTAGGGAGAAGGAGCTCTTGCCACGTGTTGGGATTAAAGACTGAAATGTAACAGTGATCCCCAAAATGTGGCTGGTGTCTGCAAATAACAAATGAGCTACAGTTGTGGAAACGCAGAAGCATCGTCCTGTGTGCAGGGCCCGGCAGTGATCGAGGTGCCCTCCTAGCCCCGTCCCCTGCATGTAAGCTCTGCTTGCTGCGTGTTGTCTCCAGCCATGTTTCTCAACCTTTCCTAATCCAGGGACGGCCAAACCTTTTTGGGAGAAGTCCAAGGATCATTTTGTTCAGAGCTGCCACATGGTTTTATTTACCGCCCAGAAGAACTAGGCAAACGTCTTGCTGTTTTTCCTCCTTTCTTCCATCCTCCCTTGGTTGCTTGTGCGCACAGGAATGTGAGCACACTTAGAGACAATTTTGCAGACTGCTTCCTAACGCTGCTGGGACAAGGAGCAGCTCCTGGACCAAGCATGGCTGTGGGCTTCTAGAGGCGGCCCCGTGCCCGTGTTTAACATCACGATTTGGTTTCTGTGGGCCAGCCCACGGCACTTCACCCGCTCTTCTCTGCTGTTCCAGATTCCCGAGGCCAAGAAGGGTGAAATCCTTTAGGACCGCCAGTGTCCCTCTCCTTGCTGCCCTCAGCCTCAAGCTTTGGGGTCAGCCCTGTTTGTTAGCAGTGTGTGGCTGAAAAGCAAGCCCACGCTGCTGGGCTCAGTGCTGCCTTGCTTCTCCTTTACGCTGACAAACAGCGATTTTTCTTTCCCAGAAAGAAAAAAATTCCCCTGGAATTTTTCTGCCCTAGGAAGTTCCTGGGTTCCTCCGCTGCTGGAGGGCACGACCTCACGTCTGGAGCTGTCCCCAGCAACTGCTTTTTGCCCAGGGATGTTCTCAAAGGTGGCTGTGTCCCCTTGGGAAGACAAAACCCTGCTGTTCCTGTGGTGCTGGGGCCATGCTAGTCGGCACCAGCGGGAGCTGTGGTCCTCGGGCAGCTCGCACAAGTCCCACTGCTTATGTAAATCCCCCGCCGAGGGTGGCGGGGCCGCGCTGCCAGCTCCTGGAGCCGTGCTTAACTGGACACATGTGTGCGGCCTCGCGGCGTGCGGCGGCGCCGAGCCGCCTTTGTGCCAACCTGTCGGGAGGCTGGGGCTGGCAGCCAGTGGTGCCTCTCCTCTGGATGGAGCTGCACGGGCACGATGCCCTAAATCGGGGAGGGGAGCACCCCTGGTAGCACGCAGAGGTGCCCGGGACTTTTGGGCAGCTCCGGGCACGGGGCAGCTTGTCGCAAGGCTTGGGGCCAAGGTGCGTGTTGGTGGGTACAGCTCTGGCTGTTCCTCCCCGAAAAAAGCCTGGGTTTTGCAGCGCAGCTCTTTGTCATTTTGCCCTGGCTGTCAGCTTTCTATTCTGCCGTTTGCCTCGCAGGAAGACTTTGGGGGGGGAGGGGGAGAGCTAATTTCAATTGTTCAGAGGATGGAAGTAACTTGTTTTGTGGCTAGAGAAAACGAGCAGAGCTTGCTGTGCGCAGGGAGTTTTTCCACTGCTGTCTCTCGTTTGAATACTGTAACCTCGAGGGTTTCCAAAGTGGTGTGTGGCACGTTTCTGCCTTCCTCGCAGCAGATTTGCTCCAGCTACCTGGCCGTGGGCTGCGAGCTTTGTGATGGGAATGGCCAGAGTGGCCGTGCATCACCTGCACTGAGGGAAAAATCCATCTTGTAGGGTCTGGCTGGTTTTTGGGCAGGGTTGGGTGGACTAGAGTGGATGGTGGATCTCCCCTGTACAGGCTGAGATCTTGCTCGGAAAGCAGGGGGCTTTTGGGTACAGCAAGGTGCCCACCTCGGCCTCCATAGGCAGGGGCGGCTCTCCCACCTCTCCCCACGTGACCCCAGAAAAATGAATCACCAAAACCGAAAGGAAGCAAAGCAAAAAAAAAAAAAAAAAAAAAAAATCCCTCCCCAGAGCTGCCTTCCAGAGGGTTGGGCAAAAGATAAAAGCTCCGTGAGGAAACGGGGCTCCTCCTCTCCCCCCGCGCCTTGCCATTTAAATGTCTGCACGCAGGCTGAGCCCACACTGCCCTGCAGCCTCCTCGGCAGCCCCAGCACCCGGCGTGATGCCCACGCAGGGGGACGCAGGGGATGGGTGTTAGCCCCCGGCCCGCAGCGGCTCGGCCCTGAGCAGTGCTCGCAGCAGCCCCACGGGAGGACCATGCGAGGGCACCGGGGGCTGTGAGCATCCATCCCTCCATCCATCCATCCGTCGGGGTGGATGGACCCCCTGCGGCCAGCCCCCCCATGTCGGCCTCGCTGCTGCTCTGGGCCGTCCTCCTCCACTGGGCCTCCGGCGGGGGCCTTGCCCGGGGCGGCAGGACGTGGCAGCACTGCACAGGTAGGAGCCGGGACCGGTGGCGAGGGAGGGCAGCTTGGAGGCGTTAGTGGAAAATACTGGGGGGCTTTCAGCTCCCTGTGCTGCTGGAGCAGCCCCCAGGAAGCGTGCTGTGCTGCAGGGTGCCCCATACCAGGCATGTTTGGATACCCCTGTGGGTTGTCTCGGGGTGACGGATGCATCCGAAGCCATCCTGGTGGCAAAACTGCCCCGGGAGGTTCCTGACTTGTCCCTCCAGCCGTGGAGCCGCTGCTCCCACTGCCCCTCCTGCACCCTCAGCCAGCAGCGTCCCACGTCCCCCGGGTCTGTGCTCCCGCTGCAGAGCATGGTCCCGGTGGCTGCTGATCGTTAGCAGCAGCTGATGTGGGAGGCAAATTGGGGCTCACGTCTTTGGTTTTAGCTGGAAACTGCCTCAGTGAGGACACGGCCCTGCCTGCCTTCTCCAGGCACAGCCTCCAGCCTTTGGGCTAATCCCTTCCGCCCTTGGGGCAGCCCGGGGGATGCTAAACCCTTCTGCAAACCTGAGCCTGAATTCAGCTTGTGCTATTTGCTGGAGAAAAAAAAAAAATAATCAGAAAGCGGTTGTTTCCTGACAGCCGTGCACTTTTTTCTGGTCCTTTCCTAAGCAAAGTGTCCGGGGAGGGTGTTTTTCCTCACCCCGGCTGTTTCAACCCCACTACGTGCCCAGCCAGCCTTGCTGATGGCTCCCTCCTGCTTGGCCTCCCCGCTGTGCTTAAGCAGAGGGGATTTTGGTACAAACGGGGACTAAGGGCCCGCAAGCTGGATGTGTGACAAGCAGAGGGCCACTGCATGGACCAGCTCCTGGCAGGATCGCGCTCCGTGTGGGGGCTCAGAGCTGCCTGCGCCCCAGCTGCATGCAAGCAGGGGGTTGTCTCCCAGTGCCGTTTTTTCAGCTGGGTGGTGCCCAAGGGCTGTGCGTGTTCTTTTCTCATCTGGGGGAAAGCATAATTATTTAATGAGAGCTTTTCGCATCCGCTGGGGAAGTGCCTGTGTGCAGCTGGGGCTGGGGCAGGGCCTGCTGTGCCCCCTGCCCTGGGGACAGGAGCAGGAGCCTGTTGTGCCAGCACACTCGTGGGCACTTCCCTGCTCTCCTGGCTCTGGCTGTGGGCTCTGGTGCCAGCTGGACAGATGGGAGCAGAGCCCTTGGAAGCTTGCAGAGTGGGGATCAGCACGTGAGGTGCTTCATGCCATCGAGACCCCGCCACAGCATCCTGCCTGTGGGGTGGGGAGGCCGGCCTTGGCCCCTGCGGTGCTGCGGAGCGCTGTAGCCAACGCTGGACATGGGTTTGCTGCCCTGAGCGAGCAGGGGAGCCCAGGACAGGGTGGCTGGCACAGCCGTGACATGTCCCGCGGTCTCTCTGCATAGACCTGCGCCCGCTGGACATCCTCTCGGAGGTGGTGCCGGCCGGCGGCCTGGCCCGCGGCCTGCGGGTGTTCCAAGTGCAGGGGGTGCGCGGCCTCCAGCTCGCTGCCGCCTGGCCCCGGGCCTTGGGCTTCCCCGCCTCGCGCCTCTTCGTCCACTGCGACCGCTTCCCTGAGGAGTTCTCCATTATCGTCACCCTGAGAGTCCTCGACGTCCCCGCCAAGGTAAGCGCTGCCGCTGGGGGCTGGGACCGGCCCCTGTTGTCGGGTGTGAGGCTGGGAGAGGAGCGGGCAGACCTTCCCTGGCCTCCTCCTGCAGAGGAACGAGTACATCTTCACCCTCATGGCCGAGGAGAGCCCCAGCGTGCTGGTGGGGCTCCGCTACGCGCCCAGCAAGCTCCACTTCCTCTTCTGGAGCCAGGAGCGCTCCAGCGGCTGGCAGACCCGTGTCACCTTCCGCAACATCTCCCTGGCGGACAGCCGCTGGCACACGCTCGTCCTGGCCGTCTCCGGCCAGTCCTTCTCGCTGACGGTGGACTGCAGCAGCCCCAAGGACGTGTAGGTCGGGGGCAGCTCCTGGGGGGCTTGGGGGAGAGGTGCTGGGGGACGCAGAGGGCAGGAGGTGCTCTGCCGGGTGGTTGTGTCCCCCAGCTGCCACCACGATGTTATCATCCTCTGCCTGCTGCAGGGTGCTGGAGACGCCATTTCCAGCTTCTCTGTCTGTGAAGAGAGCCAGATTTTACCTGGGCAACAGGAGGAGAAGGAAAGGCTTGTTCACGGTAGGTGTCCCTTGTGTCACCAGGTCACTGCGGGGCAGGGGTCCCCAGGCAGATCAGGGTGAAGGTGCTGTGCGCGTGGTCTTGAGGGGACCTCTGCTTCGCTGGCAGCCTGTGGCCTCCTGGCTGCACGGACTTGATGGGACAAATGTGCAACAGCTGGTGGCACAGTCTCGTTAATACAAAAATTACACCTGGGCCTGCCTGGTTCTGAGAAGTGGTGGCAGCAAAAGCCTTCTGCAGCTAACACAGCCCCTGCCACTGCTCCAGCCATGTCAGCTGTTAAACTGTCCAAGTCAGAGGTTTTGGCACGTAACGTTGATCTGAGAAACATGTGTGAATCACACTGAGTTGCAGCCTGGGAAGGAGGGAAGCAAACAGGAGTCTGGGGGAAAGCTCAGGTCGTGAACCACCTGCAGCTTCCATTTCCCAGCCTCACAGGACTCGCTCCTGTTCCCTTGCTCCTGCTTTCCCAGGGTCTGCTGAGGCAGCTCGTCCTGCTGCCAGGAGCTGACGCCACCCCTCGGATATGCCCGGCTGTGAATTTTGAAGCAGCCACACTCTCCATCCCCGCTGTTCTCCAGGACGTGCCGGTGAAGTCAGCGAGCAACGAGGTGCTGAAGTACCCCTACGGTCAGTGCTCGCCAGCGGGTGCTCGGGGCGCTTGGCTCTGTCCTGCCAGTGTTGCAGGGGGCTTGTTGCATGTAGGAGGGCACGGAGCAAGAGCATTTCCTAAGAACCCTGGAAGTCTCCCCTGGGGATAACAGAGAGAGTTTGGGGTGGCTTGAACTTGGGAAAAGGAGGAGGTGAAGCCGGGTAGCTCAGCGGGCAGGTGGCCACTGCTGCAGGTTGAAGGGAACTGGGGTCCAGGTGAATCCAGCCTGAACAGGAGAGGTAAGACTTGAGCCCCCCCAGTAACACGGTGGCCATGGGCTCACACTGTTGGTGCCAGCAGCCTCCTGGGTGCCAGCAGACAGCCATCTGGCTTGGGGTCAGGATGCTGTGTCCCCTGGTGCCCAATGGGATGTTCAGCCTTCTGCGTGTCTTGGGGTGAGCCTCTTCCTTCCTCCATCACGTGCATTAAGGGTGCCTGCCTTGCTCCTGTTTGTGCCCAGAGACTGACATGAAAGTGACCCTGGGGTCCCGTCCACCCTGCACCAAGCAGGAGAAGGCGCAGTTCTGGTTCAACGCCCCCCGGAGAGGGCTGTACCTCTGTGATGGCAGCACCTGGATTTCCATGCTGGAAGGTACTCGTATGCCATGCACGATGTTTGCCGGGAGGGGGGAAGCTCTTCCAGCATGAGAGGAGCAGAGATTCACCCTCAGTGGCACTGGGGGGCAGGAACCAAGGACGTTGACAACCAGCAGGGTGATACAGTGGGGTTGTCCCTGCATGCCTCCCTGTCTGTGCCCATATCCGTACTCTCAGTGCAGCTCTGGATTCACTCACACAGTGTCTGTGCTGTCTGTCTGTGCTGTGCTGTCTGTCTGTGCTGTGCTCTGTCCCTCCCAGTCCTCCTTAGGTCAGTCTGCCCGAGCAGGACAGCTCCGGCCACCAGGTGCACATGTCTGGGGTGCTGGGCTGCTCCCTGCTGCGGGTCCCCAGTGTGTGAGTGCTGCTGGTGCCAAAGTGCTCGCAGGTAGAGGGGAAGGAGCAGAAGGACTCCTCAGCCCCTGGAGATAGCGGGGCGAGCAGTGGGAAGGTGACAGTGGCAGGTCCCCACGTCCTTCCAGCCCTAGTGGCCTTGGTGCAGAAAATAGCAGGGCAACACTGGAGCACCCAGGCCTTGCAGGAAAGGGGATGGACTTTGAAAATAAAACTCAAATTTCACCCACATGCTCACAATTACCAAAATCCGTCTCCAGACAGTCATAGAATATCCCGAATTGGAAGGGACACACAAGGATCATCACTCAGGACTACCTAAAAATAAAGGCGTGTGTGAGGGCATTGCTGCTTCTTACACTGCAGCAGCCTGGGTGCCACGACCACCTCCCTGGGCACCGGCCTGCCCAGGCTTCAGCGTGAGAGCATGGAGCAGGAGGCACAGAACAACTAAGTCATCCTTTGCCCCTCTTCTGGGGCTTTTCTTATGACAGCAACCATGTGCTGGGTTTGGACGAGCTTTTTGTCTTCTCCAGGAGCTGGCAGCAGTTGGTTTCCCCATCCCTGCCTACCTCTGGAAGCCATCAGGACTTGTACCGTGCATCTCGGTGCTGAGCGCATCTCACAGCAGGGCCATCGAGTTCTGAGTTTTCCTTTCTGATGGTTTTCTAGCCAAACAGCGGCTGGACTATGTGGAGGAGCACCAGAGCCTGGTGACCAACTCGGAGACAATGGGCATCGAGGTCTTCACCATCCCAAAAGTAGGACTCTTTGCAGCCACTGCCAACCGGTACACCCCCCCGGGGTCAGCCGTCTACAAGTGGACTGATGGGAAGTTTGTGCCCTACCAGAACATCCCCACCTACCAAGCTCAGTCCTGGAAGTATTTCACCATAGGGAAAAAGGTGAGACTGCCTGGAAGGTTGTTTCAGGGCTGCGCCAAGCTGCAGGTGGCCCATGCTGGCTTCCCTTCACCTAGCCCAGGGCAGACCTGTGTCTCAGGCATGGTGCAGGGGGTAAATCCTCATCGCCTGTGTCTTTGACAGAGAAATGTTGATGCACGTATTCACCAGGTTAGGGTCCATCCTAGGGACTGCCCCCTGTTTGCTGAGGCACAGCTGCACCCACCCAGGCAACTGTCAGCCCCCGATGCTGGCAGGATCTTCCTGCGGGGTCATCCCCTTGCAAGGAACTCCAGGCCAGGCAAAAAAATCATCTGCTGACAGCTGCAGGGCTCCCAGGGGAGTTTGGATTGTCCCTACCCTGGTACCACCTGTCCTGGCTGCAGGGTTTTTCTTTGGCCTGGAAAATATTTTATTTCAGGGCACCATTATCATTTTTCCTGTTGTCATTTTACCTGTGATTTTTTTGTTCTGAACAACCTTTCCCCATGGGAAGCCTCCCAGCCTCCCAACCCATCCTTGCCCTGCCCGTGCTTGTTATGTGCCCCCATGAGAGGAGAAAAACGAGATGTCCTGGCTTGTTATTTTTCAGATCTTCCTAGCAGTGGCTAATTTTGAGCAGAACGACAGGGGTCAGGAGTTTTCTGTAATATACAAGTGGAGCCACAGGAAGGAGAAATTCATCACCCATCAGAGGATCACCACGCACAGCGCTAGGGACTGGGAGGCGTTTGTCATTGAGGGAGAGGCTTTCCTCGCGGTGGTCAACCACAGAGAAGGTACCTGCCCCCCCCTCCTGGGACGGGGCCAGCTTTTTGTTGGAATAATAATAAATAAATAGGTAATGATTAGGCTCTGGCTGGAGCTTCAGGAAGTTTCCAGGCTGGCCACCACACCAGGGGCAAGTGAAGATGCCCCCAGGGTCCTCTCCTTGGGGGGTGAAGGGCTCCAAGGCGGCAAGGCTGGCAAATATTGCCTCGTCTGACCTGCTTCTGGGTCTTTATTCTATTCTTTCCTCACTCTGCATGTCCTTGTCTCCTGCAGGGAATAACCACAACATAGACAGTGTGATATACAGGTGGAACCCCCGGACCGGGCTCTTTGAAACCAACCAGACCATCCCTACCTCTGGTGCCTACGACTGGGAATTTTTCACCATTGGGCCATATTCCTTCCTGGCCGTGGCCAACACGTTTAATGGCACATCCACGAAGATCTACTCACACATCTACATCTGGCTCCATGGCTCTTTCCAGCTCTTCCAGTCTATTCTGGTAAGGTTACCCACTGCTCACACACTGCTTCTCAGTTCCCCTCTGGGTTGAGACAAGCCAGGGAATAATTTGGATGGCTGGTCCTCTTTAGTCCTCTGAAAAGGTAGCAAGAGTTTCCCGCTGGTTCTCCCCTAGGAATTGACCAAGGGAAGTTTGTCTTCTTCCTTGGAAGGTCTTAAGACTGGGTAGCATCCACACTGCACCCCTGTCAGGTTCACCACACTTCCTAGCATGCTTGGCTTGCAAAAGGCTTGTCCTATGTGATGCTTCTTGGGTGGCTTCTTTCCCCTCAGACCTTTGGTGCTGCTGACTGGGAGGTCTTTCATATCGGGGACAGAGTCTTCCTGGCTGTCGCCAACAGCCACAGCTACGACAGCGGGATGCCAGTGCCCTCTAATTTCTATGCCATCAACTCCTCCATCTATGAGCTGAACGTCACGGCCCAGATGTTTGTCAAATTCCAGGATCTCCTCACCTACAGGTACCTGTGCAAAGAGCTGGGGTGCTCCTCAGCCCGTGGTATTACTCTGAGCACCCCAAACTGTGTAGGGGTCTCTTGGAGGGCCCGGAGAGTTCACGGGGGCTCGCATGCTGCTGGAGCATGAAACTGATGGGGAGGGCAATGGGAGACGAGGCCTGGGCACTGAATCCCAGTGGGAATTAAGGGAAGGCCCTGGATTTGAGAAGAAGGAGGGATTTTCTTTCAGGAGCGGCCTGGGAAGACTGGGGTTTCCCAGACCTGGAAGATTGGGGCTGGGGATGGCCGGGTGCCTGGGAGTGGGGTCAGAGCAGGGTGGCAGGGCTCGGTGTGGGGTCAGTGCATCTCACCCACCTCTGCCTGCTTCATCCCCCAGCGCCCTGGACTGGGAGTTCTTCTCGATGGGTGACGACTCCTTTCTGGTGGTAGCAAACTCCTTCGATGGCTTCACCTTCTCTGTTAACAGTATTATCTACAGGTACTGCTGCATGGCTGGGGCAGGGCGAGCTCTCCAACAGACCTGGGGGCAGCAGGAGGACACGGGCACTCCTGTCCCTGCCTGAGGGGCCAGGTCCCAGCCTCGTGCCTGCACTGGCTGGCTGGGTGCAGGACACCCCACGGGGAAGGCACAGCCGTGGGGACGGGCGGGTGGCTCTTTGCTCTCCTGGAGAGAGCACAGGGAGGGTGCAAGGGGAGACAGATAGGCCTGCTCCCTGTCTCTGCACAGGCCTCCAGGCAGGAAGGGAAGCCCTCACCCTGAAGCACTGCATGGAGGTGGAAGGTGCCAGGCTCCAGGTCCGGCTTTCCTGCCCACTTTTAGTGCCCCCGGAGCTAACTGCCCTCCCCGTGCAGGTGGCAAGGCTATGAAGGCTTCGTAGCAGTTCACCACCTTCCCACCGTTGGCTGTAGAGACTGGGAGGCGTTTAACACCACCGAGGGCTCCTACCTCATCTACTCCAGTGCCAAGGAGCCACTTTCCAAGGTGCTGAAGCTGAAAACCACATGAGGTGGCCGAGGCGTACTCAGCTCCTTGCCGGGACTGGGACGAGCAAGGGCGTGGAAGTGGGAAGACCCCAGCCTGGGACAGACGAAGCCCAGGGACAACTGCAGCATCCACCCGGGGACGGCTGGCTGTGCGTGCCGCAGGGCAGAGAGGAGGACAGGAGCTGCCGGGCTCAGCAGCCTCCAGCCAGGAGGGTCCCAGAGCCCTGCTGTCACTTCCAGAGCTCGTGCAAAGCCAGGGAAGAAAAAGCCTGAGCAGAGCGTGTGCTCTTGGGTCGGGCATGTGGCAGCGGGGAGGAAACAACATGGGAGAAGGTGGGAATAAGTTGGCTTCAGCTTGGCTCTGGCTGCCTGACACCAGGGGCCCCAAAGCTGGCGAGGATCCCATGGCCCCACATAGCACGCTGTGCCTCGTGCCTGGGCTGTCTCTGGGGGTCCCTCTCTGCACCACCGCCTGCTGACCCTCCCCTCCACCGTGGCTGCTCTCGGTTGTCCTTGCTGAGAGGCGTGTGTGTATTGTACAAACCCACGGACCCGCTGCACAGCTGCAGCTGGCAGGCAGAGGCATTTGTCACGGCCGGCATTGCCTAGGTGGCAGGGCAGGCGCGCTCCTGGGCACTCATCCCGAGAGTTTTGTGGGTGTGTGTCGGCGTGTTGCTGGCCTCCACCGCCTTGTCTGGTCCTTACACCCCTGTGTGCAGGGTTAGGGATGCTTTTCCTCGCCTTTATCTGGGGTGATCTATTGCTTAACTGGGGCTCCAATAAACTGCGTGCACCCCTCCATGAAAGCTGCAGGAAGTCGAGCTGCTCTGCCCACAACGGGGGCTCCTCCTTTGGTCCCTAAAACCCCTCCAGGTATCCTCGGTTTTGATTTAAGGTTAATTGCACGCAGACATAGAGCTGCAGTGATTACAAAACGCCTCCCTCCCACCCGCAGCTCTGCACACCCCACCCAGACACACACGGGGTGCTGCAGGATGGGGGTGTCGAGACGGGCACCACCTGGGAGCCTCTGCCCCTGCTTCCAGCTTCAACGTGGGATGTGGTGGTTTGCAGCTCTGAGTTCCCATCTCAGCAATGCCAAGTGTTAGAAAAGTGGTGAGTCAAGACTCCTGAGATCATCAGGCTGGCTTAATCACCACCGGGTTTTTAAATAACAAGACCTGGAGTTCTTTTACCATCTGGTCCATGAGCTGGCACAAGTCACGTTTCCAAGGGTTTTGCCAAAGCAGGGATTTAGAGATGACTTTGTGTTTTAAGGGAAGCAAAGAGTTTGCTTTAACAGCCCAGCTGTGGGAGCTGGAGCTTAGAAAGGAGCCACTGAATATCTCTGTAAGGGGCAGAAGTAGTGGGGGAATCCCAAAGGTGCCCCCAGTCCTGCTGGGGGTGAGGCAGGTGGACCTTCTTCCCTCCACTATTTGGTGCTCATCCATGAATCCCTTCTCCCACTCTCGGTGGTGGGGGGACACCAGGGGCAGATACTGAGCAGGCTGTGTTGCAGCCTTGGCACACAGCTTTCTTCCCAACAGCTCCTCTTTTTTATTCCAAACATGACGAGACATCCGTGTGGCCAGCATTGTGGGCGAGTCTGCGAGTGAATTGGATTTGTGCAGGAAGACTTGGGGTGGGAACACTCAAACCGGGCTCATCCTGGAAATGTGTTCCTCAGCACAGTCCCCGGGCACAGCCCGTGTTTAAAGAGCCATGACAAACCACCAGCCTTTAATACATGGTTTATTGAGGGTTGACTAAATTGCCACTCCGGCCCCCTGTCCCAGCCCCAGTGCATTTACTGGTTAGACTGCCCTTGTGCTGTGATGGCCACCAGTGGGGAAGGACAGCTCTGGCTGGACAGTGTCTGGGTGAGGGGAGGGCAGCTGGAATCCCTCCCTGAGCAGCGCCAGCTGTAGTCCACCCTCCCTGGGCTGTTATGGACGATAAAGAGGCCCTGGGAAACATCTCTGCTGTGCCTCATCCTTCCTATGGCAGGCAACAGCAAAGGTGACTGAAGGACTTCTCAAGACCAGAGCTGTCTGTGATGGGTACAAGTGTCCTCACTCGCTTCCCTACCTGCCCGCGTGGCCACGGAGCAGCGAGCTGCCCTGGCTGCCCGTGTGCACGAGGGGACGGGGGAGGCAGGTGTCATTTAGCTGCTGCCTTGGCTCCCACAGAGGGAAGAAGATCAGCTGCAATGTGTTGCTCAGCATACACGCACGGGATCACATAAGAGCTGTAGGGGAGGACCTGTGCAGGAGTATAAAGCTGTGGGTATATAAGCCAAGAGCTGCTGGCACCTTCTGAAGTGCTGGATCACGGCTCAAGATGGTGTCTAAGTGGAGACAGGGGGACATCTGTCATGGTAGCAGCCTGCAGGACAGTCAGACGCAAAAGACCCCAAGCCTTCCCTGCAGCAGTTCTCCAGGAGTGATGCTGATGGGGCTGCTGGAGCCCAGAGGGTGAGCAGGGAGCACGACTGCCCGATGGATGTGGAGAGGAAGGGGGGCAGGCATGTCCCCAGCGCCCACAGCAAAGCAGACAGCAGGGAGGGGCTGAGAGAAGGAACACCTTGTAGGGACAGCCCCGTGGTTCTGCCTGGTCCGAGCCCTGGGCTAGCACTGGGGCTGATGTGGAAGCATTGAGTGACAAGCTGGGGCTGAACTCAGCCTCTCTGAAGGACGGGGAAGGATGAGCTGGTGGCTGTGGGATTTCAGCCATGGTGGTGACTGTGGGTGCTGCAGTAGCTGCCCAGGCTCCAGCAGCTTCCCACGGCCTCACAGATGAGCTGGGGCATAGCAGCAGGGCCCAGCCTGGGGCTGCAGGAGTCAGCTTGTGCTTGAGGATTCAGTAGTAGGCACCAAGGAGGGTCGAGACCTTGTACAGGAGCAGCTTGTGGTTGGCGTGCAGGGGCATCCTCCTGTCCAGCACCTGCCAGCGGATGCACAGCTCTGGGTCGCAGCCCTGGAGGAACTGGAAGGGGAGCAGAGACATCATGTGCATGCTGGGGGTAAGGAGCAGCATCAGCTGTGCTCAGCAGCAACACGCCCCCAGACTCCCACCCTCTGTATTTGGGGCCCCTGTTGTGCTGCCACCCCATCTGCAGCCCCGTGCTCCTCCTCCACTGCCTGCCGCTGGAGAAACCTGCTCCTGATGATGGTGAGATCTGGGTCTGGAGCCATAGGGATTCAGAGGGATGTCTGCCTTGCCTGGGGTCTCACCTGTCCCATGCCTGCTGAGAGCCAGGTCAGGGAGCCATGGAGGCAAGAGGTTCTTACCGAATTCAGTCGCTTCATCTGCACATCGTTCTGACTGTCAAAGTGTATGCTGACAGCAACAGTCTCAACCCAGGCATTGTCTGTGTTGCGGGGGTCATCAAGGTACCCTTTGTGTATCTGTGCACAGTGAAGGATTGCTGCATTAGCAGGGCCATAAGCACTGCTCCAAGGGCACTGAGGCCCCAGAGGCTGTGGGATATTGCCCCATATCTCCTCCGTGTGCTCCATACCTCGGTGCCTTGCTTCAGCAGGTTCTGGAACTGAGGCCAGAACTCCCGGCGCAGGACCCACTTGAGTTTCAGTGGCAGCATCTCGCCTGGCTCCAGCGACCCCTGCACCAAAACAGATTCCGTAGCCCAGCCCAGCCTCCCTCACCGCCACCAGCTCAGCACATCTCATGGTTGCCACCACCGCAGAAGTTGCCACAAGCTCTGCTGGAGTGGGGCAACCAGCAGTGGTGCCTCCCTCCTCTTGCTCCTATACCCATCTGTGTTTCTCCCTTTTGCACAGGGCATTTCAGGGCCTGCAGAGCTCCTGGGACTTGGCTGGACCAGGTTGCCTCAGAGCCTCCTAGGCCACCTCCACTTACCCCAGGCAGAGCCCAGACATCTGACAGGGGGTACTGGGCCACCAGCACTTCCAGCATCTTCTTCAGGCTCTTCCTGATAATGGACCCATCCAAGTTCCTCCTCCAGCTGTGAGAGACAGGTCCATGTTATTTTGCAAGCCATACCCAGTTCCCCTGTTCCCAGCATGCAGAAGGCTCCTGCTTTGGATGGGTTTTGCCAGACATCCTGGCCTCTCTGAGAGGGCTTTGTGCCTCCTTCCCCGTTCGTGACACTCACCGGGTCACAACTGGGTGCAGGGCATGGTTGGGCCCAAAGCTGTGCAGCCTCCCGCGGCCTCGCAGACCTGTCCTGCCCATGGGATTCCTGGTAGGAAAGAGCAAGCAGGCATGGAGGCTTACACCACAGAGCTGGCCAAAGCCCTAGACCCTATTCCCAAATTCCCCACCATTGCATTTTGTGTGTTCTGGGGTGCTGTTTTGTTTGTTTGTTTTGGGGGGAGCATAGCCCTGAGGAAGACACACCCCAAGGGCTATGCGTGCCATTTCCATGCCCCACTCTTAGCTGCCAAAAGGACTGCAGCCGTCCTGGCTCACACAGCCATGACAGCAATTTCTGGTGTGGGTGGTGCTTCTCAGAGGTGCCTAGCCCCGCTGTTCCCACCTCACCCACCTACCCCACGGTGTGTGCACTCACAGCGGCAGTCCATCCTGCACGGCGTAGAGGCCGTGGAAGCTCTGCCGGTCAATCAGCCCATCCATGGCATTGTAGTTTATCTTCAGGAGAGACTCTAAGGAGCTGGGGGCAGGAAGCAGTTCGACAGTGAGGGCTGCCACATGGTGGGACAGGGCAGAGATGAAGGGCTGGATGGGGAGGGAGCCCCCCGGGGACACTCACAGGTTGAATGGGTCTTGCACAGCTGTGTCCTTGTGGTCGGCTGAGTAGGCAGGAGGGTCATACAGCTGGAAGTCCACCTGCAGAGCATGTGGCCATGTCAGACCCCACTTGCATCCTTGCTCTGGTGGCCAGCAAGGACTGGGAACCCTGGTTACATTTTCTCTCACAGTTCTTTCCTCCACCTAGCTCATGGTATCACTTGCCCAGGCAGGAAGGGCTCTGGAGCTGAGCTCTGTGTCTTGGTTGGAGGCTTGGGACCTCACTTGTGCCCTCATGGAAGCCAGCACTAGATCCTGTCCCCGACCTACATTCCTGATTCAGAAAGCGAGGAGGCAGGTGTCTGCTCCTTCTGTCTCCCATCCAAGCACCACAGAAAACCCTACCACAATCCCAGCAGGAACAAGTTTCACTTCCCTTTTCTTGTCCCTCGGAGGCTGTTCACCCAGACACAGAATCTCACTGGAGCTGTCATGCCCAGTATGGCTGCCCTGTGGGACCCTGGAGAGGGGGCAGCCCAGATGGGCCTTCCCATCTCAAAAACCTCCAGACATTCCCAAGTGAGACCCAATCTTGTTTTACTGAGCACAGCCACAGCATTTTCCCAGGGAAGCATCTCCAGCCATGGTTAGACCCTCCGCCAAGTAGACACCCAGCCCTGGGGTGCTGAACCCTGACAGAGTTCAGCAGCTCCCAAGCTTAATTCTTCTCTCTCTGGGTTGAAACGAAAAGCTCTATTCGCCTTCCCACCTCCTGTCCTCCTCCACCCATGGGAGCAGCCCATGGTCCCCTCCTCTAGCACTGCTGCCCAGGCCAGAGCTCTTACCTCCCAGGGCACCTTCTCATCCGGCACGGGGAAGCGGATGATGTGAGACCCTGGGTAGATGAGGTTTCGACTAAGCACATGGTATGGGGGCTGCTTCTCTTCAGGTTTCTCCTCCAGGTCCAGCTCCTTCACCTCTGAGGTTCTGCTGGAGGCTGCAAGGTAGACAGAGACAGTGAGACCCTGCAGAGCGGGGTGCTGAGCCTCAGCAGGACTAGTGCTGAGGGCTGTGGCTCAGCCGGGAGGCTGGCTGAGTCTGTACAGGACAAGATCTGCTGACGCCCCCAGTGGGTCTGGCTCCTCGGCATCCCTTCAGGCAAGACGAGGAGGGACAGGAGCCTCCTCTGTGCCATGCTGCAGTGAAAAGCCTCAGCCATGGGCTTCAGGGAGGGCTCCAGCCTGGAGGCTGGGACTGGCCCCAGGTCAGGCCCTGGACTTCCCCCAGTGTTGCTGCGGTGCAGCCAGCTGTATTTACCCAAGAGTGGCATGTCCTCCTCTGAAGTGAAGCCATTGCCCTGCAGGGCCTGCATAATCCACCTCAAGGCTTTGGCACTCTGATGAACCTGCACGGGACAGGAGAGGGTCAGCCCCTTCTGCATGGCCCCAGTGCGTGGGCATTGCCCTCCCAGTGCCACCCACTCCTCTTTCCCTTAGAAACCACCCAGAAGAGTGGTGGGACTCTGCTGCACTTATATTATTTCTCCCGCAAATGACATAGGAGTCTCTGTTGTCTCATTGTAGGCTTATGGCACGTGGTCCCCATACTCTTGGCACAACTGGCCCGTTCCTCAGGTAGCCCAGGACTGATGCCTGGGCATGGACACACAGCACCTAAGCAGAGTCCCCCAGTCCCCAATACACCATCTTGTTTCCCTCTCTGCAAATTAAATGGAGATTTAAAAAAAAAATAGAGTTGCAAAATCATTCCTGATTTTGGGTCAACAGAAAAAAGAGATGCTTCTGCCAGGGCCCTAAGAGAATTAACAGGCCTCAGTGGCCCTGACTAGCTCAAAAGCCCACTTAAGATCAGCCCTGCGCTTCAGTCCTTTCATGAGCTGTGTTGGAGGGGTGCTGGTCTGCAGCCCAGCCCCTGGGCTGGCAGTGCACATTCGTGGTGTGGAACAGCTTCACAGGGAGGAGGCTGAAAGTCCCCCATTGCCAGAGGGCCTGTAGGGGTCTCTCAAGCCAAGGAGGAGGCTGGATGACCAGTGCAGGGGCTCATCCCACAACCTCCCATTATCCCGTTTTCATCCTTTTCATTTTGGAGACAAACAGAACAGAAAGGTATGTATTTCCTATATGCCTGTTCTTTGAAGCTATTGCTTTGGCAACAAAACTCAAGCTGTTTCAAAGGGGGATTGATTCAGAGGAACTTTCTCTTATGCTGTGGTTCAGTTGACTCACCCCCTTGGAAAATCCCACCTTTCCAAGGCAGTTGTTCAGTTTTTGCCTCACCTGGTCTTCTAGAGCGATCAATCTCTGCTCCACCAGACCTGTCCTCTTCACCCGATCCAAGTCCAGCAGCTCTGCCAGCACATCAACTCTGGAGGGACAGTGCAGAGAAGAACCCCCTTAGGAGTAGTGCCTGCTGTAGGTGCTCAGCAGCCCACTCCATGTGGGTGCAGCCACCTCCACAGGACAGATTCCTATGAGCACTCTCCCATCGCCTGCATACACAGCAAGGAGTGTAGCAACAGCTCCCTGAGGTCCCAGAGCACCAATCCCAATTCCCTCCTGCCCAAGACAGTCGAGGATGGGATGTCCCTGTCTCAGCAGTGTCAGTACCTCTGTGCAATGTCTCTGATTTTCTGCTCTGTGTTCTGCTTCTCCTGGCACTGCTGGTGCTGCAGGTAGTTCTCCTTCAGGTACATCTCCCAGGAGAGCAGGGCAGCTTCTTCATTCTTCTCCAGCTTCTCTTCTGCCAGGGGAAGGGGATGGCAATGCTCTCATATCCTGAGGCATCCCAAGCTCCAATACCACAACATAGATGCCAAACCTCGTGCCCCGGGGAGGGAGCAAAGGAAGGGAAGGGAGCTGTTCCTCACTGAGCTGCTTGTGGCGCATGGCTGGCCTGCACAGCAGGACTCGCCGGACCAGGAGCTGCAGGTGGTTGAGGAGGATGAATGGCGGAGGTGCGGGCGGGCGGCCGTGGTATTCCTCAATCAGGTTGTGCCTCTGGAACTTCCAGATCTGGTCTGTGTGTGCCTGGACCTGCTGGAATGTGTAGCTGGGGACAGAACACAGTTGGCTGTGAAATGAGGGCAAGGAGGCACGCCTCAGCCGTGTGGTGCCCTGGCTTCTACTTGTCTCCCTGAACAGATCCGGCCCGCAACTTCTGCTTCCACCATGTCTATAAACCTCCCCTTCCCCACAAAAGCACCCCTGAGGTCTGGTCTGTCTTCACACAAGGCCTCTCCTCACACTTTCTCAGCACATAGTGCCCTGGCCCTGGCCAAGCCTGCGATAAAGCCAGCTTGATTCACTGTCAGGACCACGGGTCCAGGTCAGACTCACTTGAACATGGCGATGAGGAGGTTAAGGAGGAGGATGTTGGTGAAGAGCAGGTATAGGCACAGTAAGATGACCGTCAGCCACTCTGGGAAGATGGGTTTCTTGTTGTCCTCATTGGTCTCTGGGCACTTGGGCTTGTAGGGGTCAGTCCCATTGGGGCTGCACTGATCAATGTTGAAGTTCACCCCTGCAAGAGAGTACAGCACTACTCCACTGCAGCCAAACCTCACAGTGTCACAAGGAGCATGTTGTGCTCCCTGACAACTGCCAGCATCAAGGTGGCTTAGAAGGCAGAGATTTGAGCAACTGGTGCATACTGAGTGTTTCCAAGCTCATTGTGCATCATAGAATGGCTTGGGTTGCAGAGGACCTTAAAGACTATCTAGTTCCAACCCCCCTGCCATGGCTGTGGCTTGAAGAGGAGTCCTGTGCAGGGCTTCCATGGGCTAGCAGACTGTTGCATGAGCTTGGCACCCCTCAGCCTTGTAACAAAGCCATCCTGCATGTGCCACACAATTTTACAGGCTGCTGTCCCTTACCATCGATGTAGGAAGGAATCTGTCCAAAGATGGTCAGGTAGGAGTGGTAGACTACACCACGGAAAAGCCACTCCACACGCTCCTCATTGTGGATCAGGATGGCCTGCTTGGCAACCCCAAAGGACACCACCCACACTGCTAGCAGGAAGAGGAAGAAGAAGACATCCTTCATCTGCAAAGACATGGATGAAGCAAAATTGCATCCTGGAGCAAACTACCCTCCAGGACAGCACAACGTGGGTCGCACGTGCCCTGCAGGCCTCCAGCTGCTCTAGCTGGAAGCCAGGCCTGACAGGATGGAGAGGTGCTCTCACCATGCGCTTCACAATGATTATCTTGGGCCCCAGCGTTCTACTGACTGTGAAAATATGCATCAGACGTAGGCAGAAAATAATAAAAGCCAATGACAGTATGATGCGTCCGGGATATAAAGTTGATGGAATGAGCCTGGGCACAGAAGAGAGGAAAGGAAACAGCTCAGTGATACCAGTGCGTTGTTTTTTTTTCTGATCTCACAGCATTACATTTCTGCTATTGCAGTGATCTTCCCTAGATTGCTGGTTGAGAGTTGCAGCATTAAAAACATCTCTCCTAAAAACAGTTGAAAACAGAAGTAAATTGGTTGGAGTTAATCACATGATTATAAAAATCTTCACTGGTCTTTTGAAGAAGAAACTGCAATTAAAAAAAAAAAAAGTGCACAATTCTCAGACTAGTTTAGGGCCAGCTGCAGACTACAGTTGTGACTTGAGCCCATGCACTGCAAGCTAAATGGCTCTACATCTCACCTGCAAGTCAGCCCAGTGATAAAAACCACGATAGCACAAACATCCAACTTATTCCAGAAGTCCTTGAAGTACAGGGAAGCCATTTTCAGGACCCCAAGCCCATCTGGGTCATACAACAGCTGTTGAGAAGAGAAGAGGGGTTAGTATGTCAGTGAAAGTCTTGTAAGATACTCAGCTGCCATGTAAAAGGGAGGGGTGGCACAGATCTGCTAGCCATCACCGGACTTCCTTGCTTACCTGAAGTTAACCTGAATCTACAGGGTATTCTACATGGGCATGGAGGAGCATGGGGAGAGATACCTGAGACAGGGGGCTCTTTAGTCTGTTGAGGAAAGGCACAGAGATGAAGCAAAAACTGAATGAAAGGAAAAAAAAAGTGAAACAAAGTGTGGAAATACTTCTGGGAATAAATGCCCAAGGAAGGAAGTGGTCCCTCCGTCTCCTGATGTTTTTGACTCAAACCAGTGTGCCTTTCTGCGAGTACCAAAGGCCAGGCCAGAGGTAGCTCGTGAGACAGAGACAGGGCGATCTGGCGGTTTCTTCTGCCAGGACCTCTCCAAATGGATGATGATGTTAGAGGCAGCTCGGCAACACAAGCTAGACGGGACCTTCCAGGAGCACCCAGAAGGGTGTCTGGAAGCCTGGACCATCTCACCTCCTCCCAACCTCTGCTCTGCCCACCCCATACCTGGCGCGTCTCCTCGCACACCAAGGAGAAGAGCCAGAAGTAGATGAGGTACTCCCACCAGGATGGTAACGGCTGGAAGTCAACCATCAGGACGTAGGCGAAGAGCAGGAGGAAGGTGAAGTAAGAGAGAATGTTCATGTGGAAGATGACCACAGGTGCTGTGAAGAAGGCCCGGAAACGTGTCAGGCAGTTCATGGGCTGCAGCTTCTTCTCCCTGGGGGGAGCAAGGACAAAAGCATGGCTCAGCTGCCTGAGGTTTGCCTGCTAGCAATGCAGGTGAGGGGCACTGCTCTGACCAGGCTGTGTGGATAATAGTGCTCGCCAGCTAGAGCTCATGAGGGGCCTTGCTGGCAGATCAGCACTCCAAACTACGTGCTGCCAAGGGAGATGTCACAATAGCTTCTCCCAGCCTCTGCACAACAGTCTGACCCTCCCAGCTGGTCCCTGGGGTCACTGCAGCCACCCCGAGGGGACCTGCAGGCATTACAAGGTGAGGCTGAAGGCTCTGGCACACGGGTGTGCTAAGGGTGCTCTTGGGCACGTGTTGGGTGGTTGCATGAAGGAAAGGCTCCTGTTCTGTGCGGCACAGGGCCAGAGAGCAAGGATGAGGCTGAAGGAGAATCCTGCCTCCACGCATGCATACCCCCAGCTGCACAATGTACCTGAAGGTGATGAGGCTGGTGTAGAGAAGTGGGAAGAAGAGCATGCACGCAATCACCCGCCAAAGCCCATTGTCAATGCACAGCTTCCCCCACCAGACTTTTGTCAGAAAGGCCTGTGAGGAGAAGAGGAGCAGTGGTTACAGGAGCCGCCTCTACCTTCTGGCCAATTCTTGAGACGTTCAGCTAGCCCACCCAATGGACAGAGCCCGGGCCTGTCCCCCAGGAGGATCAGGGACGATCGATTTCCCCAGGAGCAGGGAGGAGACAGGCAGGCCCACCACAGACCCTGGCACAGGCCACTGGGGGAGGCAGGGTGCTCAGCCACCACCTGGAGGGCACAGTCCCTCCGTCTGAGCCCTACCTCTGCAAACAAGGCACCCTGAATCTGGGGCAGGGGACATGCTGCTTACTCCCCCTTCACCCATTCCACCACCACCCCAAGCATCACCACTGGGAACCCACTTGGACACCTCCATGGGCCACAAAATTCATGTTTTTGGCCTCCAGTGCCAGCTGCAGACAGGTTGTCTTCCCCCAGGCCTCAGAGACACGGATGAGGAGCTTCTGGGCCCTCTCTTCATCCTTGCGATAGCAGTCTGTGAACACACCTGGGGGACCAGGGAGACAAGGCTGAACTCTGGGGCCAGCTTCGGTGCTTAGCAGGGGGAGCACCAACGAGTATTTTACAGCAGGATCTGGGCATTTCACCATGGTCTCCCTCTGCACTCCTGCCACCACCCAGGGCACAGCCCTCATGGCACCACGAACCCAACCACAACAAGCACAGCCCTGTTTGGCACCATCCACCCCACCTACCACCCCTTAGACACAATGTGAGCCAAGCTAGCCAGCACAATGGGATATGAGAGTCACAGAATCACAGAATCACAGAATTTCTAGGTTGGAAGAGACCTCAAGATCATTGAGTCCAACCTCTAACCTAACACTAACAGTCCCCACTAAACCATATCCCTAAGCTCTACATCTAAACGTCTTTTGAAGACTTCCAGGGATGGTGACTCCACCACCTCCCTGGGCAGCCCGTTCCAGTGCCTAACAACCCTTTCAGTAAAGAAATTCTTCCTAAGAGTCGTTCTGGTTGTCCCCACTCACCAATCGCCTTGTTCTCGTACTGCTCAGCCAGGGCCAGCATTTCATCAGTGGTGTCAGTGTCTTCCTCCTCCTTGGCGAGCTCCTTCAGGATTTTGCTGCAGGCCAGAGCAGCCACCATGCAGTCCTGGCTCTGGAGCAGAAGAGGCCAGAGAGGGTGTGGGACTCTGAGACTCCTACAAGTCCATGGCAGACTTGACAAGTCCTTTGGGGTTCCCACAGGAGGGAAAAGGAATGCCCCAAGCTGAGCACTGCTCAGAAAGGACAACTTGCCACAACAAGGGCTGAGCTGTCTTTCCCTCTAGTTGCAGGGGCAGCGGATAACTAACTGCCACGGGGAATCTGGGGACATTCCTATTCTTGTAATAGGAAGCCACGGGTGATGGGATGTTTGTGACTCCATGGCTATGAGGAAGACATGTTCCACAACCATGGCATGCTCATGTTTTTCCAGCTGGCAGACAGCTACAACACCTCTTGCACAGAGATGCTGGAAGCTTTCTCTACCCCCAGCTGCCATGCTCTTGGGTCCCCCTTGCAGTGTGCTGAGCCCTATCTTAGCCTTTGCTAAGAGCACACGTCTGGCCCAGAACATCATCAAATGTCATCAAGTGAACACGAAGTGTCCACTGGCTAGGAGGGCTGCCACTGCCACATCCACAGTTGTATGGCTCCCGTATGGCTGTGGCTTGGGCACTGCCATAGACCTGTGACACCTGCTTGCCTGAATCCCAGCAGGTGTAACCTTGCCTTTTGGGCTTGGGAGTCTTGGCTCTGTCTGAGCCCTACAGCTGGGACTGACAGGTTCGGGCTGCGATACCTGGGCCCAGATGATTTCTGCCAGTTCCTGGCGGTTCTGGACCACAGCCCAAATGAGCAGGTCACGGACTGGGTCCATGCTGAAGGCAACTCGGCCAGAAGAGCGCTTGTAGAGGGACCGGAGGCTTGACCCATGGACCTGGGAGGGACGCAACGGTCAGACGTGTTCACCTGCCAAGAGACTGCAGAGAGCAGACAGCCCCTCAACACGAAGCCCTCCCTGAACCCACGTGCCAGCCTCCACCAGCCATAGAAGGCCTTTTCTGCAGACAGAAGGGTGGATAGGGCTGTAATCATCCAGGAAATGCCACTTTTTCTAGGGCCAGAACTGTGTGGGGATATGGCCAGCCTGTCTAGCACATGAGGAGCCTCTCTGTCCTCCACCCTGCTGGGTCCTACCCAACGGAGTCACAGCCACATGGTGCTGCGCATGTAGGAAGGGCTTAAGGGATTTTAAGTGGGATTCTTGAGTGGGAAAAGGGACAGTGATCCAGCTGCAACTTGCAGGACTGTTTCTTGAGCCAGTGTCCCCCTCTCTAATGCAACCCCACCACCACGTAACCTGGAGATGCGTACATTCAGCTTGATGTGCGGGACAGGGATGGAGAGCCGGGGCCGCTCAACGTGCTTGGGCTTGGGGTAGAGTGGCTGTGTGGAGTGGCCCAGGAGCTCCCTCAGCACCTGGGAGACATGGTGCAGTTGGATTCTTGGCATTTTGGAGCCAGCTGTGTTCTCTGTCTCCTCCAGCAGGACCTTCTGAAGCTTGCTGTGGAACAGGCAGGACGATGCCATGTTGTTGTAGAGGTAAATGAGGGTGTCCCAGGTGACAAACTCCTTGAGACGTACTCCCTGTTCCAGGAACAGCTTCACAAACTCTGGCTTGTTTGAGATCAGGGCAGCTGCCATCACAGGGTGGAGATCTGTAGGCTGGCAGACCAGAGGCAGAGGTGAGAGAAACCATGGCCTCAGAGCAAGGCCTCGATCAGGTGGGGGGAAGATTTTATCTGAAAGCACTCAAGGAGTTTCTGGGATTGACATAGCATCTGGGAGGGAAAGGGGAAAGGAGGCAGTGGGATTTGCAGGACATCCCCAGAGACACACTCATAGGTCAGTATGCTTTCTCCCTTGGCAGTGAAGCCCTCTGCTTCCTTGGCTGCTCGGTGGGGGTATGGGGTAGAGCCACAACAGACCCTCTTTCACCAGCTCATGAGGATGCACCATACAAACAAGCAGGGCCTTGCCGGCTTGTTCCCCCCACCCTGTGCACAAGCACTCAGCTGAAGGATCCCAGTGCTGCTAAATGAAATACCAACATCCTTTGTAAAAAATTATAGGGCAAATAGGACCTTTACAAGCAGTGAATTGCAGGTTGTGCCCGCCTCTGCATTTTGGAAGGACAAGACAGATTAAGAGCCCCTGACAATGTAATGGAAGTTTAGGGCCCAAGATAAATGCCCTCAAAAACCCTCCCTAGGCAAAGCAGCGGTGAAAAGTGCTCTCAACATGAACTGCCTTCAAGCTGACAAACTAAGCCTGACCAAACAGTCTTACAGTAAGGTCCAGGCAGGTTTGTGCATGGTCAAGAATGGGGAGAAATGTCCTAACCCTTGCCTTCGATCTCCCCCCAGCTCCCCAGCTCTGCCTCCAATGGCAGCCACGAAGCAGACAAACAGCACAGGTACTGCCTTACCTTCCACTCATGGTCATCTGTGAAGATCTCACTCCGAGCAATGTCTACCCTGTTCCAGGCCACAGCTAACTTCAGCTGGTGGTCCCAGTTCTCACGACCAAAGTGATCTTGGTTTTGGGATGCTGCATGTAAAGTGCATGCATTAGAACAGAGGGTCATTTACCCCCTTGACAGCCCACTTGGAGACTTGGTTCTTTGGGAGAAATATCCTCCTGATCAGTTCATCATCACAAGTTTTGAGGAGCCCTCTGGTGACTCCACAAGCCAAGCAGCTGCAGGAGGCAACTTGTGACCCCCATCCTATTCACCTCTCCCATGCCCCCAAGCAGCTACCTTCCCCTCACCTTTGAACAGGGCCTGGAGGATGGCCACATCCACATCCTGCTGGCCATATTTGCCCTCTCTGAAAATGGTCAGGAGATGCTGGCTCCGCACTATGTCTTGGATCTACAAGGAAAGCCATGGGCAAGGCAGTCAGCAGCAACATCTCCTCCCTGCTACTTCCAGCAGCCCCCTGTGAACCCCTGCCCTTGCTCCCTCTGGGTCTCCTGCAGGTCCCCTGTGCTGTCTCCCAGCCCAGCTAGGGTTGGTGCCACACGGTCCTTCTCTGCCCAGAGTGAGCAGGCAGTGGAGGGGCAGAGCTTGAGCCCTGCGGTGTCCACCGGAACAATGCTGAGTATGGCTGGGAAGAGATGGATGTTCAGTAGGACCTGAGCCTTAAACTTCCCACTGGGAGCTTTGCTGCTCACAGGAAAGGATGCCTGGGGACCCCTTTTGTCTCCACATGCTCAGAGAAAGGAGCTTCCTGCCTGCAAGAGGCTTACCTTCTTGGTCCACTCCACCAGCTTGCCCTCGGTGAAGAGCTCATAGGTGTCGTGGAAAAGCACACTGAGCTTCTTCCGGATCAAGGCGATGGTTATCTTGGGCACAGGCAGGTTGGCCACCTGTGCAATGACATCTGCCACACGCCCAGACCCTTCTACAACCACACAGGGTGTCCCATTGGTGATGGCATTGTAGATGGTCTGCAACCAAGCAGGGAGACAGGTCCTAATAATCATGCGGAGGCCACCAAACCCCCACTGATCCTGAATCCTTCCACTGATACAGCACAGCATCTCTATTCTGCTGCATTTCACCTGTGACAACCGTGTTCCCACCAATGCTGGGAGAGCAGCACCCCAGGCAAGGAGCAGACCTGCTGCCCTTGACCCTGGCCACCAACTTAACCTGCTTTCCCAATCCTGCTCCATCCCACCACTACCCCCTCTCAGCTCTCCTGGGAGAGGGCAGGGGCAGTTCCTTACATCAAGTGTCCCAGGGCCTCCTTCCAGCACCACACAAACAATGGGGATCTTGATGGCAACGCCTGCAGGGAAGCAGAGCCTGGGGTCACCGTCCTGTGGGGCAGCCCCTCCAAGCAGCTGAGCTGGGTCCCCACTGAGCTGTGGGGTGTGAAATGCAAGGTCGGAGCACTGCCAGGCTTCAGGGGAGAGGGGAAACAATCTCTTGGCAGTCATGCTGCTGGGAAAGGTTGGCCTGAGGCAGAAAAAGGCCCCTTGATTCGTGTCACTGAGCTACCTGGCAGGAACCATGTTCTGCATTTATCATAGGCATGTTCTCAAGCCCTTGTTTGGATCCTACAGGGAAGCCAAGGCCTCCTCTCTCCCCTGAGGCCAGGATGGGCACTGCTTACCAACGGATGACCCATCAAGCCTTTTGTCCTCCCCTGCCTCAGGCTTCCTTGTGTTGCTGTTACCTCCTTTCACCTTGGTCTGCTCCGAAATGAACTTCTCCAGCCGGGTCCTCAGGGGGATTTCCACTCCGTACCTCCCGTGGGTCCCATCGTCCACTAGGATGAAGTGGGAGTGGTTGCTGTCCAGGCACGAGAGGCTTCCTTGGTTCTCCTCATCCAGGACATACTCAGCTGGAAAGCCACCCTGCAAGATGCAGAAGGAGAGGCTCTGGGTAAAGCCTGACGGGGCTGAGGAGGCACACCAGATGCCCAAAGCAACCGCTGTGTGAGCTGGAGAGCATGCAGGGGCAGACAGGCTGAAGTCACTCCTGCCATCGCTGCAGTCCTCACAGCAGTCTCGCCCCATGTTCTTCTGTCTCTGCTTCACCTGCCCTCCCAGGCTGCTCCCACACACCCACAAGGGTCCTCCCAGGAGAAGCACAGCTCCTATGCAAGACACTGGGTAGGGCAGAGGGACTTCTCTGAAAATATCACCCTGAAACCATCATTCCTGGTCTGGCTGGGTTTTTACCTGGGCTACCAGCCACAGACACCTCTTGAAGCACCCATTCCCATAATGTTCCTTGGGTAGAACTTCCCCAGCAGCCCAGGTGTAAGCAAAGCAAATGCATTTCCAACTCTGCCTGGCTCACCATGGGGCAGATGAGGCTGTCCCGGTTGTACACAGTCCCCCAGGTGGCTATGCCAATGGTGACAATCTCGGCCTCCTTGTAGCTGCAGTTGAGGATGAAGTCTCGCACTGCCTCTCCCACCTGTTTCATCACACCAGCATGGGACCCCCCTGTGATGATCCAGGCCCCTGGGGGTCAGAGAGGGACTTGGGAAGGGAGAGGCTCTGTCACAGCAACCTCCTAGCACCTCGCTATATGGCTGCAGGAGCACTTGGCCCTCAGAGAGGCTCCATCCCCTAGGAGATGTTCTCTCTGCCCACTTCATCAAGGCAGCACAGGAGATGCCTTCTGCACAGTGCTGCATCTCTCAGTCTCACTCCCTATAAGTCTGTTTGCAGCAGCTGAGCGGGAACAGTCCACCCCTGTTGGGTGGTAGCTCAGACAGGGCCCTAACAGGCCTTCCAGGCCAGCTCAGTGTCTCCACAGCAGCCAAACTCACTGGGCCTGGCATGGCGCGATGGCAGGTCCCTCTCCTGCTGCAGTCTCAGGAAGAAACTCTGCATCTCTTACCAGTGGTCTGGGCCACTTTGACTAGCCCTTGCCGGAAGATGTTCTTTAGCCTTGGCTTCATGATGAAGTTTTTGGCTCCACCAGTAACCGAGATGAGCAGGTTGGGTGCATCAAGGCCCCAGTGCTGTGTCATGAGGTGGTAGATGACCCGTGGAGGAGTATCAGAGGAGACACGCACGTACTGCAAAAGGAGAGCATACATGTGTTTTGGGTAAAAAGAACGGGGCTGGGGGAAGGGGCACCTCCACCATGGTTTCTCACATCCCAGCAAAGAACGAGGGGCTTCCAACATCATTTCCCAGAGGAGTTCTGTCGCTGCTGCCCCAGTTCTTGGTGCATAACCCTGTTCCCAGTCACTTCCCTGGAAATGTAAATCCCCAAGACTTGCCCAAGGATAAGGACAGGCAACAGCAATGCCTTGAAGTATGGGCCTCATAGCATGAAGACCAGTCTTATGGTTTCAGAAAAGGTACAAGGGTGGGTAGAGAGGAGGGATGCTGTCTCATCCATCTCTGTTTCCCCTGGGGCACTTCTATGCTTCCCTAACCTCTCGTTCAGGAGGGAAGTACTTGTATTTCATCTGCTATGGCAAGATTTGAACTCTGACTCCCAGTGCACAACAGAGGGGAAAAACAGATCACCTTTCCCATCTTCTGTCCCAGGCCTGCAAAACGGATGTCCCCAAAGGCATCTGTTGGCATTTCCTGGATGTGCCTTCTGGGGTCCCATTCCTTCCCCAGGAAGAGGGGAGTTTTGACAGCATCTTCCAGGTGCTGTTCCCTGAGGTAGCCGCACTCACACACAGTCCTCCTGAGAGGGAACACCAACAACTTTGTAGAAAACAAGCTAAGCCCAAGAAACAAAGCCCAGGTGGTCTACCTGCCACATCTAGGCATGAGGTGTTTGCATTTTGATTAGGAACACCACAGGCACCAGCACCGCCCACCCAACCTGTCTTCCAGCTCAGAACTTGTGAATAAACCAGGGCTTTTTCTAGGGGAAAACTTAGCAAAGATTGGTATTTCCATCTATGGAGGTTTATGACAGAAATATTAGAGTTGCTCTGGATGAAATATGGAAAGAAATGACAGCCTGGGAAAGCATCAGAAAGGTTACTCACTGGGAAACTTGGTATCAGCCATGCAGTGATACACAGCAGGTTAAAGAAACATATCAAAAGGAATTTGTGAATTCCCTCAATACCAGTTCCCTTGGCAGAAAGGTAGGATTTTCTGGTGCTGTACAATTGTCACCAAATGTCCCTTTCGCTCCCCTGGCAGGAGAGGGGAAGGAGGGACTGACTTACCCAGAATCTGATGTCTGGGAACTTTCCACGAAGTGCACACACTCTTTCTTCCGGATGTTTTCAGGAATCCATGAGATGAGATTTTCCTGAGGAAGAGCAGCAAGAGGTCAGTGTTTCTGGAAAGGGCCAGAATTTACTCCAGGGACCAGATACAGTGGTGCTTGGAGCATATTTGGAGCTTTTTTTGCTGTGAAGGAAGAAAGTTCCATCATTCTCTGCAAGGACCAAGCCAGGTGTACTCCAAGGAGAGGAGATTCAAATGCTGGACATGCAGATGTATCTCAGACCTTTGTTTTTTTCTGTCCTATCCCCAAAACTCAAGTGATCTCTTATTGACATCCACCCCTAGCTTGAGATTCCCCCACTGATGTGTCCCAGGATAACCCAGTAATGCTCTTCTACCACGTGTGGCCAACTCCCACCTCTTCCAGCAGCTGCTGAACTTGCCTTCTCGTTGTTCCCAGAGGGAAAATGTGCCTTCCGTCTGCTCCGCGAGATGCTGCTGCTGCTCTGCTGCAGGTTGGGGACCACCTCGAAGTCACTCATCTTCATGGGGTGCACGGAGGAACTGTCTTCTCTCTCAGGGCACACCTTGTTCAGCTCGGAGGGGAGCACCTTGCTGTGCCGGCCGTGCACAGCCATGGCTGCCTAGCCTCCTCCCTCCCACTCCTAGGCTGGGTGCAGCAAAAAAGAAAAAGGATACGTGTGGGTTAAGAGCAGTGGGTCACCCTGTTTGCCATGCCCTGGGTGGGGGGGGGGTCTGAGCAAGAGCAGAGAGGTGATTTCTGTAAAAACCCACAGGGTGAGTCACATTGAGACAGACTCTGCAGCCTGACCCCCGTGTCCTGCCACCAGCACGGCTCCTGCTCTGCCACCTGGCAGTCCCTGGGGTGTTCCTGGCAGCAGGGTGAGCAGAAACCAGGTCTCTTGTTTGAACAGCCTGGGCGCAGCCCTGCCTGGAAAATTGGGGTTTGCATGAAAGATGGTCAGCTCCAGCTGGGACCCTGCTGGTCACAGTGCCCAGCCTCTTATTTCAGAGGGGGTGCAATAAATTCCTGCACTCTGCCTTGTGGGTGAAGGGTGATTTGGGTTAAAAGTTGCCAACTGCCATCACGTGTGCCTTCGTGACTCCAAGAAAGCCAGGCCACAAACTTTTGCCTGCTGCAGCCACAGATCAGCTCCTGAGCCTTCCCAAACACTCACAACCTCCACTTCTGAGCTCTTGAATGGCTGAGTTCCCCAAAAACTGCTGGAGCAAGGATGGAAAAGCTCCTGTGTGTCTCTGGAGCCTAAAGGGGAATGGTGTCTGCTCTGGGGGGCTGTGGGCAGGTAATGTGCACAGCACTCAGGTATTGAGGTGGCAAAGCTCTAGGGTCAACAGGCCTGTGTTTATAAGGAGGATTTTGGCTGCCTTTCTGCCAATTAAACCCTTTTTACAACCAACATGGTAAGGGCTGGGAGGACTTCTGACTGTGTGGAAGGAATGGTGGAGCAAAATGAGGGCCACTGCATTTCACTCATGTCTCCTTCCCCCATGCTCAGCTGCAGTCAGGGAGCAGCCAGAAAATGCCTTTTTGCCCATTTCTCTTGAATTCCAGCTTGCTCCTGGGTTCCCCCCGGGGCGCACGCAGCTCCATTGACCTTGGGAGCCAGGTTTTGGTGGGCCAGCTTTCTGCACCACCACAACCGATGGTAGGTCTAATTGTTAACGAGTCCTTGAAATAACATCAGGCATGCCCTGAATTCTCCGTTCTGGCCCCACAGGGTGGCAGGCTGCTGGGGGTGCAGCGTATGCCCACGAGAAGCCAGTAAGCACAGGCAGGCAGGGCTGTCCCGCTGGGCACCCCAGGACTGAATGGCACCCAGAATACCTGTCCTTTAGGGGTTCAGGGACAAGGGCAGAGCACAAGGTGCCTTCTCCCACCTCGGCAAGCACTGCAGGAGGGGGGGCTGTACCCGTTGCAGGCAGCATGGGGCCCCTTGCCATGGGGGTGGCCAGCAGGGTGCCCATTCAGGGACAGGGATGCAAGGCAGGTGCTGAAAGCTGCCTGCAGCCCTTGCTTCTCCACCTCCCCTGCCCCCCGCCACGGTTGCGACTGTACCTTCCCCGCAGCATCCTCTGTCTGCATCACCAGCTCCTCTGCTCCATCCCTGCCACGGGGAAGTCAGCCTCCTGTCCTCCTCTGGCAAGTCATCTCGTCGCTCGGGAAGCGGGCGATGAGCAGGGAACAGGGCAGAGTTGCCTGCAAGCTGCCCGCAGAGAGGAGGAGGAGGTTGGTAAGGCGGCTGGCAGCCTCCCAGCAAATCAGACTGCAGAAGCAGTCAGTCCCTGCGCCCTGCTGAGAAGCTGCAGCACAAAGACAAGCCCCGCGTTTGCTCGAGAGGCTGAGTCACGCTTCCCTTGATCGCAGCCGCCATGGCCGGTGCAGCCTGGAAGCACACAGCACCCCGATGCTGCAGGCCTTACACAGCACACCGGCTGCCTCCGGGCAATGGCACGGGCAGGGGACCAGCAGATCACGGGCTGGGGCCAGGAGATGTTGCCAGTTATCAAGGCCAGGCACATCCTTAAGGGCTGGGGACTGAAGCCCTGTGCACCCCTTCGTGTTGCTGGGATGCTGGGGCAATGCATTAAGTGAACACACGGACTCCAAATGAAAATATGGTGTTTTGACCACATCCTATAGCTCCCTTTCTAGCCAGAGCATGTAAATTAGCATGGGCCCTCTGCAATGAGTTTTTCTGGTTTCCTTGAACAAGAGCAGACAGCTGAGATTTCGCTGGGAGAACAGATGCCATCAATAAAGCAGTAAATAAAATCCATGTGCAATGTTTTACAGTTCAGTTGTAATTAACTCTGCACTGCCAAAAGAACTGAAGCCAGAAGTGCGCATTAATTACACAGTAATGGGAATGCTCATCCGCTCTCAGATGTCTGGCTCTCTCGAGACCGTGGCTTTTATTTCATTTTTGCACATGCCAAAACCACTGTGGCCCAGTGGGACCCTCATGGAGCCAGCACACAGGCTCCTAGTAAGAGCCCAGCTAAAACCCAGCAAGACTGAGTTAGACTCCAACTCCAACAGGATTAACAAGAGAGGAGCATGAGGGAGTTTGCCGGAATTAAACTTTTGCCTCTTGCAAAGATGTTGCACCTCTAAAAAAGTACAGGCAAAATTCAGCCAGATTCATGCTTGTGAACTAGGGTTTTTTTCTGTCAGAGAGGAACAAACTCTTCTCCCCCACATTTGTAGTCCCATGCTCCCCCTCAAAAACGTTCCTTTGGGACTGAGAAGCTGTAGGAGTAGGTAGCTGTTGTTTGTGTTTGAATAAAGCACAACTTAAAAAGAGATGCAAAAGGAGGCAAGAGGTTGATTTATTAAATGAAAGTGCACCAGCCAAGCAGTGAAATCTGTTTCCCTTGATTGCCCTGCCTGCCGCCCTGCACACGGGATGGCTGTAGGTCCCTGCATGTTTGTTCTCTTGGAGCCAGATTTGTTCTCCTGGAGCCAGAAGGCTCCAGGACCTGGCAGCCTCCTGCTCCCAACCTGGAGAACCAGCTTATGCTCCTGGCTGGAGGCACAGGGCACCAAGACACCAGCATTGCAGGAGAGCTGAGGCACCTCAAGCCCTGCCAAGGATGTTTCTGCCTGGCTGCCAGGGTGCTTGCTCCCAGACGAGGCTCCCTGCCTTTGGAGAGGCCTGCTTGGCACTGCCCTGACTACGCTTGTCTGCAGGAGTGGCGGTGGATCACAACCACCTGGCTACGCCGTCGTGTGTTTCGGGGCAAACAGCGCTGGCAACACACCGAGGGATCAGAGGGGTTCTTTCTTCTCCCAGCTGAAATGATCTGGAAATGATGCATGTCATCGCGTTAACAATAAAACACAGTGCTGGACATGTTGTTTGTGTTGTGTCTTTGCTTTAATGGCAGCTCTCACTTTATCTGACATGTTTCCATGCTTTTTGTGCATCGAGAGCCCTGGGGGCTCTGCTTCAGGCACCAAATGTGCAGAGTGTGGCACAGGGACCAAGCCAACCAAGGAAGAAGTGGTTGCTCTGGCTGCCGTAAGCACTGAGGTGCCAGGGATTGTGCTTACAGCAATCAGCTTGGCCATTTCATTGCAGCAGACTTTTGGATGCAGCAGTAGCAGGTAAGGCTGGCATGGTAAAACTGCGAAGCTCATCAACAGAAAGAAAGCTCCAGCAGGGGTGAAGGAAGGTTTCTGGAAAACAACACTCCCCTCTCCTTCCTCCTCCTCTGATGCTCAGAAGCACAAAGATGCCCACGTCCCAGCCCTCCAGCAAAACAATCTGTATGGTGGACATGCAGCTAGAGCAGGTTGTGTTAAACCCCCCATTTGCCGCGTGAATAACTGCAGACAGAGGCCTTGTAACAGGAACAGCAAACATTTAATCATGTAATAATTGTGGCTGCCACCAGCCCATCCCCAGGTAAGGCCTGGCCATGATGCTCAGGAGCAGGACTGGCGCAGTGGTACACATGGTCGCCTGCCCCTGGCTTCTCCTGCGCAGCCACAAGGTGTCCTTTGGGTCAGTGCCCCGCTGGGACCAGAGCTGGCTGCACCCATCTCATTTCCATTTCTCTGCTGCTGCGGCTGACGAAGCTGCAGCCCTGGCCCCACATCGTGCTGGTGCCTGCCCTGTGGCCAGCGGGACAGGGTGTCCTCAGGGTAATGTGGTTTTGGGAGCAGGATGGCAGCAATGGGCCTCTGGCTGTGCGTGCACCCGGCCCTGGCAGTGGCAGCTGATCAGTAGCTGTGCCCGCAGGGGGCCAGGCGGCTGTTTTGGCCAGTGGGACCAGATAGATGGGGCACGTCTCCTCTCTGGTGGCCACTGCTGGCAGTGCCTGGGGCTCATGCTGACCACAGCCATCCCAGCACAGAGCCACTTGTCTGCCCCATGGGAGGCTGCCCCTGATGCCAGTGGTTGGCAGCTCCTGGTCCTCAGCACAGCGCTTGGGTGCCACCGGCTGGATTCAGTGCCTCCCTCGTGAGCAGGGCCTCAACAACTCACGTCCCAGCAGCAGGACCTCAACATCTCACATGCCACCAGCAGCACCTTCAGCATCTCATGTGCTGCCAAGAGTGGCTGGGGTGACTGGCTCATGCTGCCCATGGCTGCCCTGGTGCACAGCTGCTTGTCCGCCCTGCAGGAGGGGTTGCCCTGGCTCTGGGTACCCAGACGTCTCATGTGCCACCAGCAGGACCTTGACGCCGGCAGGACACTCACGGCACTTATGGCCCTCGTCTTCAGCGCTGCCTTCAGGTGCCACTGGCAGAAGCTCGATGTCTTGTGTGCTGCCAACAAGACAGGACACTTCACGTGGCCACTGGCAAGACTCGATGAAGGTGGGACACGCAGGGCACTTATGGCAGCCCACCGTATCTGAGGTCATGGGGTGACAGTGACTCTCTGGAGACATCACAGGGTTCTTCGGGCACCCCTGATGGCAGATGTTACAGAGGTGACCTAGACTGCCATGAGAAAATGCTGACAAGAAATTGCTGCTCAACTCTGGCAGGAGCAATGTCTGCTGGGCTGGGGGCCAGGCTCGGAGCTCAGCTTTTGGCCTGGGAACTTGTCATGGGAGCCAGGGATGTCCTTGACGTGCAGCCGGACACATGTACATTGTGGATATCCTGAGGATACCATTGGCGAGGACACAACGAGAATCTGACGAACCATTCATGGCCTGGGGAGGTGAAAAATACTCTGGGAAAGAGGAAATTGGTTTGATAAAGTAGGAATCAGCATGAGAGACAAAGTATCCTTTAAAGAAAAGAAAATCAGAAATATCATCACCTATTAGCTGCCTCAGGAAGAAGACAGAAATTAATAGCATCTGGTGGTTACCTGAAGTGGTGCTGTCTTATGCCCTCTTATGTCTCTATGACATAAAAAGGGCCTTATTTTTATCCAAAATGGAGCTTCTTTCTCTGAGCAGCTTCCCATGGTACATGTGCTCCTCTCTATTAGTTGCAGATTTTTTGGTTGTTGTTTCCCCTCCATAAACAGGTTGAAGCTTTGCTGGGACACCAGGTTAACTGATCATTACTATCTATTATGGTTTTCTACTGCTTCTACGTGCTGCAACTTTTCATTAGTGCTATACTCTTAATATCTACAACAAATATAGACGTGTGTTCTGGTAATAGCTTCTGATCTGTCTGTCCATCTATCTGCGTACCTTTTTGATGACAGTAAACCTGTTAGTGGTGATTTGTGTTGATGTGTAATCAATGCAACCTTTTAGAAAATAAAGCCTCTGTGTCCTTGTGTATTACAGAATCCTGCCAACTAACTGTTGCGCTATCAACATACCCATGGGCCAGGTAACCCCCCTTTGGCATGGTGACACCAGCCAGGAGCTCGTCCAGCCTCAGGCACATACCACAGGCTGGCCAAGCCCATCTGGCAGCGTGTTTCACAGCTGCCCCGGTGCTCGGGCCTGGCTGAATGGCTGCACTTTGGTTCAGGTCCCTGCAAAACCACCGGACACACAGTGGGCTCGGGCTTGGAAGGCACCTCTGCCGGTCACCTGCTCCAACCCCCATGCTCAAGCAGGGCCACCTGCAGCCATTTGGACACTGGGCACCACTGAGAAGAGCCTGGCTCCATCTCCTTTGCACCTTCTCTTCACATATTGAGATCCTTCAGCCAGATCCCCACAGGCCTTCTCCACAACGAGCAGTCATGGCTCTCTCCAGCTCTCCCCAGCTGGAGAGAGCCGTGACTCTCTCTGAGCAGAGGGGAATGATCACCTTGGCCTGCTGGCAGCCCTCTTCCTAATGCTGCACACGGAAGAGTCATTACTCTTTCCTCAGGGAAACCTTAATAATAATAATAATAATAATAATAATAATAATAATAATAATAATAATAATAATAATAATAATAATAATAATAATAATAATAATAGTGTTGAGTACCTCAGCCTTCTCCAGGTTGGTTGTCACTAGTTCTGCTTGTTTTCTCTATCAGGATGGGGGGATCTGACAGGGTAATGCTTCCTTGAATCTTCCTTTTTTGACCAATGTAGCTGCAGAAGCCTTCCTTCTTCTTCACATTCCTGGCCCAACTCATCTCCAGCTGAGCTCCGAGGAGCACTGCTGGCCCATACCCTTTCCTGCAGAGCTGTGTCCAAAATGGAGCCCCCAGCATATCCTGGTGCCTCTGGTTGCTCCTCCCCAGGGGCAGGACTTCGAGTTTCGCCATCTTGAAGTCTGGAAGGTTCTTGGCAGGCCTGCCCAGTGCCCAGTGTCCCACCTCAGCCTCCTCTTTTCCAGGCTGAACAGCCCCAGTGCCCTCAGCCACTCCTTATATGTCTTCCCCTCTAGTCCCTTCACCATCTTTGTAGC